TGCTGTAGGTTGGGTGCCATTTGCTTCTCTTTATCTTGTGTTTATACACTTTCTTTGATAGACCACTCTGAACTATAAGGTCTACCTGAGAAGTTAAAGCATAATGTGTACATGGGTAATATTAACTCATTTATTATCTTATATAATAAGATGATGCTGCACAGCACTCTAATGAGTCAAAGAGCTACCATCTTCATGACGTAAGCTGTGCCTGCTTATAAAAGGTTATCACAATTGGGCTTGCCGATGGTTGTTATTTCTTCATTAAAGGAGAGATAACCTCACTTGAGTATCCAGCCAGTCTTCCCAGACAGCTGTATGTAATTCTGCCCTAATTGCAAATGGTCTCCTGAATTTGAAAAGGACTACAGTAGTAAAGATTGATATATAAAGATTAAAATGATGGGGTATTTTCAAAATAGAAGGGATAATGAAATTTACTTTTGACACTTTCTTTTACCCATAACAAGAATGATCTGACTCAAGAAAAACTAGGTCTGCCTCCTTGAACCAGATATATGCAATCTAGAAGAAAACAGTTTCGGTGAAGCTTGGTTTGAATTCTGATCAGTTCATTTCTTGTCCATAGGTATGTGATATAATGCCACCCTTCCTTCTGAAAACTGTCGATCAGGATATAGAAAACTAAAAGGAGACTGCTTCTGTTTGTAAGAGAACAGCCTTCATTTGAGACAGACTTAAGAAATTCTTGTTTTAAGGTCCCTTTCCTGGGCTGTGCCTAGTTAATCTGTGATGGTAAATCTCTTCCAGTCAATATTTATTGAGAACGTTTGGGTTTTGTTCAAGCTTTATCTATATATTACACAGTAATTAAAGGTACCAGGCTGGTGCAACTGACCATCTTGGATTGCTAATAACTGTACTGTCTCCCAATTGGCTAGTTCCTCCAATGGGTGGGGCCTGATGTGGAGCTTGGACTATGAAGGGGCTGCCGGGAGCCATCTTGGGATGGAAGGCAGGAGCCATGGGTAGCATGTGTGGTGTGGGGAACGCGCAGCCAACCGCAGAGCTCAAGGACAGAATGGACTGACTCTTGTGGACCTGGGGTGAGATCGCTGGCCCTTGAGGCGTGAGTGAATGCTAGTGGTATTCATGGCTCAGTCTGATAATGACAGGCTCTGAGCTGTGCCACTAGAGGCGTCGGGCTAGGCACAGGGTTCTCATTCCTTTATAAGTTAATAAATTGCACATAAAATATATTATATGGTTTGTCTGATAGCACAGGAGACCCAGAGGGAATTTGGGGCACAAAACTGGTGTAGTCTGGCCAGATAAAAGAAGCACAGCCTTGGGGATGTGGGTCTCAGAAAGCAGTGCTGTTCCTGCTGCCCCTGTGGCGGGTCAGCTGGGCTCTGAGTCCCAAATCCAGGAGAGAAGCCAATCAAAATCCACATGCTTAATGGGGTTAGGGATAGTCATATGGGTTATACAATGGATCATAAAATTTGTAACTAAAAAGAGGCCAGCCACACAGAAGCATGGGCCACAGCTATGTTGTAAATGTGGGGATATGTTGCTGGTATGTGAAGATTTGTTAAAGGTTACCCAAAGGCCAGAAAATCTTCTACCTGCTCTGGACCCAAATGGAGTGCCGAGAGATGAGAGAGAGAGAGAGAGAGAGAGAGAGAGAGAGAGAGAGAGTGCAAGCTCAGCCACTTTGCATGATAAAGGATGTGTTCCAGGCAGGAAAAGCTGAAAAGGCTGCAGGGCAGACCCAGTTCTAGAGCTGGAGCGAGGAAAAAGGTGGGACACTTTGACTTGTGTAAGGTCCAAGGACTCAGAGGAAAAGACAGATAATAGTAAAAAGGAAACAAAAAAAAACTAACTGTGCTGTAGCTAGGAAATATTCCATGCTAGAACTGTTAAAACTAGGAAAAACTTATAAGCAAGCAGAGAGCCCCTGGCCACGTGGCTTGTGAGAGTATGGGACATGGGAGCAAATGACATCAGTCTAAGTCCTTCAGAAACTTTACAGCTGAGTTATATAACCACCAATCCATCCTTGTGATATAGGCTGTTCAACCTAGGCCAATGCAGGGGGGAAGCAGTCCTTAATGGGGTGGCTGGTTGAAGGCATTAAAGATACATGGTTGTCACCAAGGGAGACTAACATGATTAGCAGGAGCTGGAGGACTAAAAGGAGGGGCGGGAATTACTGACAGAACTAGGTATGAGAAAAGCAATATATGATGTCCAGTTCACTAGTCCAGGTAAGACTGAGTTCACCAGAGATATGAAACAAAGCCTAATTCACTGGGACCTCAAGAATGGTATGGGGCTTTAATGGTTTTACTAAGCTCTTTGATGGGACAGGATCTTTGTAAAGTGAGAGAGGCTTTAGAAAATCTAAATGATTCTGATCAGCATGTAAAACATGTCTGTAAAATAACTGAACACCCTATAAGAGATATAAAAAAGACCAGACTGAAGAAACAGTCCACTTCGGTTACTTGAAGACAAATGTGGCAAGACTTATGTCAAGCACAAATCTCCAGAGAAAAAATTGATACAAATCCAAATTCAGTACTAAGGCATTCCTGGAAGGTTTTAAAACCAGAAGAACAGTTTACAATGGACATTTGAAGGATAACAACTGTACAAGGGGTGGTTAAGAATCCTCAAGGATTAAATAAGATGCATTTCTCTTCTGATAAAGGCTATACTAGGGGTGGAAGGAGGTTTCCCCACCAAGTTCTCCCCCAGCAACCTGGTGTGGTCAATAGGAAGATGACAGATGTGACTACAGTCAGGAGGCAGACCCAGAGCCTGTCTGACTCAGAACCAACAAGTGCAGTGGGGACAGGAGAAGCCCCCTGCCTCCTTAGCCCAGTGCAGGGTCAGGCAACTGGAGCCAACACTTGTAAGTGTATTAACCAAATTAATGCCTTGTACCCATGCTGTGGTACCTAACAAGGATCTATGGAGAAAACAGTTAATACAAATGAACAAAACCTTTTCATGCTTTGTGAGACCTTGTCTATGATTGATTTAATATATAATGTTAACATTCCTTCCAGTGTTTTACAGATGTGAAACCCATCTGAAAGATACCTGAAGAAGTGAAGGCCAGCTATATCTGTAAGATTCTTGGCAGTTTTATGTAGGTTGGGTAAGATGAGGATAGAGACTCTCAAATTATAAAACTGTTAAGAAAATCTACAGTACCAGGGATGGGTTCCCCCCCGCCGATGAGATCCTAGAGGTCCTCCAATTCACCAAGGCTGTTGCCATTAACGTCAGTTGTACACTAGAAAGGTCAGTAAGGCCATGTTGCTGAAGACACTGCATGTTGTGAAAGTGGGAAAAGAAGAAGAGATGGAACTGAGACTAAGCCAAAACACTCCGTGCCACTGGATGGATGACATTCATATTGCCAGGAGGCTGTATACGGATGGTTGGGGAAGAAAGGATCCCCTATAAATCTACTCAATGATGGACCCCACGTGCTGCACACTATGGACATGCCAAGCAATGCCTGCAAGTGCAATAATGGCTCAACCAACACATGTACAACTGACAAATTTCTAATTGGATAAGGCCTGCTCCTAGGGGTGGAACACACTTCTGGTGCTGTAGACCAGGCCAACACCTTGTGTCAAGAAAGGCTACAGGCCCTATTGGAGAAGCCATCATGAGTATAGTACTCCTACTGGGATATCTTCTAGACATTTGTATTTACATTCATGTTTGTTTAAATGTGTTTATTTCCTTCCATTTGTCTTTATAGTAGAAGAAACACCACTGAGATAGATCAGTGGCCATGGCATAAAGACGACTAATGGGGAAGCCCAAGAAGCCACTATCTTGGCATGATACAAGAGAGATTACCCTATATCTATCACCCCCTCCAAGGCTCAGGGACTTTAACGGAACATGGATGGGAAGATTGTAAGAGCAGAGGAAAGGGGTGGAGTGTCTCCCAATTGGCTATTTCCTCCAATGGGCAGGGCCTGACATGGAGTGTGGACTATGAAGGGGCTGCTGGGAGCCATTTTGGGATGGAAGTTGGGAGCCGCGGGTAGCACGCGTGGTGTGGGGAACACGCAGCCAGCCACAGCAGAGGACAGAATGGACTGACTCTTGTGGACCTGGGGCAAGATCACTGGCCCCTGAAGTGTGAGCAAATGCTAGTGGGGACTATGGTAGTCGTGACGTGGTCTGATATGGTGGGCTCTGAGCTGCACCAGCGGAGGCGTGGGGCTAGGCACTGGGTTCTCATTCCTTTATAAGTTAATAAATGCACATAAAATATATTATGTGGTTTGTCTGATAGCACAAGAGACCCAGAGGGAATTCGGGCCACACACATACTTAAAGGCCCATACTAATCTGGACAAAGGGGCTTAAGGGACAGTTTTTTTCCTTGCCCTGGAAGGTCGACAGTGTCCCAGGGGACTATGGGAATCTCTTGCTATGTCCTGTAACTGTGATGAGTCACCTGTCCTCTTGTTCAGGGAGGTCATGGAGACTCCACCAGAGGGACTCAAACCAGTGTCCAGTCTGCAAGGAGGAGGGTCAACACAGAGGAAACATTTCCTCCATGCTTCCATGTGGAACCCCGGTCAAGCAGGACCTCTTATCTTCACATAGATGGAACTGGTAAAAGAAAAGGCCTAAGGAGCCAGAATCTCCTCCCAAGCCCATGTGACCCCTGAGGATCGGCTCCTCAACCGACCTTAAAATAAAAGTAAATTGATTTGGGCCAAATGCATGGTCTTAAACACCCAAAAGGAAAGTATAACCAAAAATTAATCAGTATATTTCTTTAAGAGTCCAAAGGATTGTATTTCCCAGACATTAGACTTAAGTCCAGGTAAAATGTTATTTAGACAATTATTTCTCAGTAATGATTTTGTTCCTAACAAGAAAATGCTGCTCAGGTGTAAAACTTCAATTCTTGGTCTCCAATACTGTAGTGCCCACCTGCAGCTATTATTGTTCTAAAATGATGACTAAATTTATTTTCTCTCCCTGTCTAGAAGACAGATTCTAGCCACTCCAACAGCTATCAGAGTACCTGAAAACAAATCCTGAGTTCATCACTCTTGAGTCCAGTCTTGGTGGCCCAAAGAAAAATGAAGAGGAACCAAATAGATGGATGTTTTTAGAAGCCCTCATCAAGAAATTTCAATGGACTTTAATTTGGACATTTAAAATTTGCCCTGTTCTGATTTTTCTGTGTAGAACTTGTAATGCTATCTCTTCTTGCCTTGACTTCTCCTTCGTATCTCCCAGGCTTTGGACAAGGACTTACTTTTCTCCCTACAGTTAAAACTTAGGGAACTTGGTAGTCATTTAGATAGACCCACTGAAGGGGTACCCCAGTTGCCACACCCTGCATCCATGTTCAGCATGGAAGAAGCCAGAGTGGTCTGCGTCCCAATTCCTCATGGGCAAATTGGGTTACCTCTTCAAAAGTAATAAAAAGGTAAAAATTAGACAGTTTTAAAGTAAAGACTCCAAAAGAAAATGACCAGTTTCTTTCTGAACTGGGGGCTGGAAATTGTTAGATCTGCCAGTAAACTTATCCCTGAGAAAAGGGATGCCAGAACCATCAGAAAGGAGGTATATGTGCCTATGTGGGAGAAAAATGCTATTTTTATGCAAATCAATTGGGCATAGTTAGAGAGAATGCAAAGCAACTGCTAAAAAAAAAAAAGGCTGGAGAAGAGGGAAATGGGTCTTTCTGTAAGAATACCTGGAGAATTTGGGGTCCCTGGTGGGCCCCACTTACAAGACCATGGTCATGATTCCATTAATCCTTCAGATAGGGCCATGTATAATAAATAGTCTCAATAAATTTATCAAAAACCAAGTAGAAGATATCAGACTCTGGTGATTTGTCAATATCACAGTGTTCCTCTAGAATAAACATAAGGGATTATGTCAATGAAGAGGAGGGAAATATTGTGGAAGTAGAACTTATCAGATGCTAAAGGATTTTGCAATGTGATGATAATTGAGAGCTCCAGTACTGGGAAAGTAAACTGGAATCTTCCCCTGCCCCTTTTAGTTATCCAGGATAAGAAGTCTTTGTTTTCTAAAGGTATCACTTTCCTGTATAGACCTAAGGCTTCTGCATTCCTATAACCTTTGCCTTTCTATTACCCTTGCCGCCCTCTGTTATCTTACTTAATTACCATGTATATGCTTTGTACCTTTTGCTTGCATTCCTCACTTGAGTATAAAAACCCCCAAAACCTTGAACATGGGGTCTGACTTCTTGATTCTTGATGTCAGTCCCGCTAGTGTCAAATTAAACTCCCTCTCCTCACCTGATTTTGGCTGTTGATCTCTTGAGTATTTCCGTAACAGATGCAGGCCTTAGAGATTTCTAAGTTAAGCCCTAGGCTTGGAGAAACTACGCACAAAGGTATCAAGACAGTCTAGGGTTTAGTATGTTTAAGAAATAAGAAGGAGCCTATTAGGGGAATGTGGATAATTTTAGAGGTTAGAGAAGTGGGAAGTCCAAAGTAAGGAGTGGGCTTTTGTTCTCTGATGAAATATGAAGTTGATAGATGATGCTGAACAGACACATGCATGGCATGTTGTTTTTTAATTTAAAAGGACCACACTGAACTGGATGTGGTGGAGCACCCCTTTAATCCCAGCTGGGAGGCAGAGGCAGATCTCTGTGAGATCAAGGCCAGTCTGGTCTACATAGTGAGTTCCAGACCAGCTGGAGGCTACAGGGAGACTCTGTCTCAAAAAAACAAGCCAGGCGTGGTGGCACATGCCTGTAGTCCCAGCACTTGGGAGGCAGAGGCAGAGGCAGAGGCAGGCAGATCTCTGTGAGTTCGAGGTCAGCCTGGTCTACGTAGTGAGTTCCAGGACAGCTGGGCCAAAAAGGAAACCCGGCCTCAAAAGAACAAAAAAAAAAAAAAAAAAAAAAAAAAAAAAGCACCAACAAAAAAGACCATGAATGGTAGAGGCAGAAACAGAGATCCCATTAGGAAACCCTGCGGTTTGAATATGCATTGTCCTCTGAAACTCAAGCAAAAATATGATTGCCAGGACTGGAGAGATGGTTCAGTGGTTAAGAGCACTGGCTGTTCTTGCAGAGAACTCAGGTTTCGTCCCAGCACCCACACGGAAGCTAACAACTGCCCTTAACTCCAGTTCCAGGGGATCAGATGCCTTCTTCTGTCCTCTTCTGGTGTTGCATGCAAGTAGCATACTTACATACATGCAGACACTCATACCATAAAATAAAAATAATGTACGTGATTGTCATTCCTCTAATAGGTATTTAGATCTTAACAAGGTATTAAGGCCTTTATCATGAGAGCAGTTGATATGAAGTGAACCCAGACCCTCTCACTTGCCTCTTTTTCACAGTCTACTTGCTGACTCAGTATGAGGCCTTCACCACACAATCTTCCAGCCTCTAGAACTATGCACTAAATTAATCCCCTTTCTTTATAAATCTTCCAGTCTCAGGTATTCTTTATAACAACAGAAAGTACATGAAGACAGCATCCTATTGCAAAATTCTCTAATAATTGATAGTCATTTAAACCAGGTAGTTGTGGTGGGCATGGTAGAAAACAAGTGGATTCTGGATGCATTTTGAAAGTCAAGTACTAAGGCTTGCTGGTGCATTGGGTACAGGAGGTGGGGAGAAAAAAAGAGAGGATCTAAGCATAACTAGAATGTGTTTGGCCTGGGAAGCTGGATCAGCAGAACTGTTGTTTGTAATCTGAAGAATATCCTGAGGGAACCAGATCTGGGGACAAGTAGGAATTCATTTGGGGCTCTGCTAAGTTGGAAATGACTCTTAGATGTCTAAGAGGGGAAGTCAATAAATCTGGGATTCTGGGGAGAAGCAAAGGTAGGAGGTTTCACATCTGGGAATCAGCAGAGCTTGCAATACATAGAATCCAAATCCAAAGGCTTGGATGTCAGGGACATGACCCAGCATCAAAGTGACAAGAGATGATTACATGGTCATACTGGATAGAGTATCAAAGAACATAGAAGTGGGAGGGATAGACCAGAGAAACCAGAGACAATGTGAATTGCTCACTGGCTCCACAAATATTTTTGAGTATTTGCCAGAAATTCTGCTAGCTTATAGAGAAAAGAACACAGCAGTTCAGACACAGGCAGTGCCTTCCTTCTGGTAGCTCATGTTTCCAAGATGAACGAATGTCAAAGGAGGGCAGAGATAAATTCCAGCATATACTGGTGAACAGAACGCAGAGGAGAAGTAGCAAAGTTAACAGTGGTGGTATGGACCAGACTCTGAGGCCTGAGGAGGAAAGGAAACTGCCTTTAATCACCATCTGCCTCCAGCAAAGATAAGTGGAGTCACTAGGCATTCTGGTCAGCAAGATAAAACTCAAACTAGAACAAAATTACAGAGAGGAAGGGAGGGAAGGAGCAAGAGAAGAAAGGAGGAAGGAGGGAGGGGAAAAAGGAGGGAGGGAGAACAGGCTTAGATGTCATTTTAGATGTCATTTAAATGTAGGGGAGCTGGAGAAATGGTTCAGCATTTAAGAGCACTGGCTGCTCTTGCAGAGGACCCAGGTTCAGTTCCCACATGGTAGCTCACAACCATCGAGTTCCAGGGGATCTGACTCCCTCTTCTGGCCTCCTCAGGGATTGCATGCATTACATACATGCAAGCAAAACACTCATACATAAAATAAAAATATATAAAAAGTAAAAAGACAGGTTTCATTACATCATGCAAATAGCTCCTAATGAAGCAACAGCTTTTCTAATCAGAATTGTATTCTAATGAAACTATATTAATTGTATTTTTAATTCTACTGCAGCTGCTGTTACAATAAAACAAATTTCCTAGGGTATTAACTAATTTTGTCCACAAAATAATACTGAAACCACCTTCTAATAAATCAGAAGATTAGAGAAGATCCAGACCTACTGATCAAAACTAAGAGCAAAGGGGGAAAATGCTACCATATTTAAATAAAGTGGAAAGATAATTAATGGGGGAAAATTTGATGCTCTTCCTTGGGGGATTACCATGTGGATGCTTTAAACTGTCTCAGATCACATAGGAGGTAAAAGGGTCAGAATGGCTTCCGGATAGTCTCATAATCTTGATGGCTACCAATCTGATTCTTATGGTGCCTAAACATTTTTCCTTGAATTTTATTATTTAGTAAGCCTAGCACTGAATCCTGGGTATGCTTTTATTCATTTGGGAGAAATGCACTTAAATGGAGAAGTCACAGCAGGTCTGCTTTTCCCACATATTTACACTTGAATGCAAAAGATGCAGAAACAGGGCTACCTCCTACTATGGTCATTGTTGCACACTGTGGTATAAGATTAGCTGTTGTGGCTTGGGAAGGTCCTGGCCCCCATCAATCACAGATGTAATTGCATACTAGGAACCCTGGAGGAAAGATGAGTACATGACTTTGGAAGAGTCAAGAACCCTGGGCAGCACTGACAGGGGTGGGAAGTGGAGCTGAACTGGCAGTACATGTAGAAGTAGGTGAGAGTTCAGCCTTCAACCCATTCAAAATGCAACTGGTGACTTCTTACCAAACCAAGGACTGTTAAGATCCAAAAGGTAAGTAAAACCTAGCATGTTCCTCCTTCCAATGGAGTTTACAGTCTAGAGCAGTGATCTTTAAATTGGGGTACACAGCCCACAGGGATTGAGATGACAGAGCTAGGAAACAACGCCAACAAAAGTGGTAGGTGCTATACCAGAAATGAAGATGCACAGGTGGGCAGCCTACCTTGAAAGGGCGTTCTGTAAAAGATGGGAAGAAAATATTAGAACTTTTATTTCAAAGTAAGAAAAACATCAGTTTTTGCTGTATACCTTACTACTATAGTTGAAAATTAATCACATATTTTGGCTGCATGGACTTAAAACACTTTATTGGTGGGGACATTATAAACAATTGAGTGTGATGTAAAACTTGAGATTCAATTTCAGGTCAATTTGAAAGCTTTATGACAGAATGTAGAGGGAGTGAGAAGTGAACCAGCTCTAGTCTTAGACTATCGGTAGAAGAGTAAAGAATGAAGGAGATTCACTCCTCCTGTGCCATTAAAATGTCTCCACAATGCCCCTTGAAGGAAAGTTGTGTATATGTGTGCTTGCACTGTGTGAGCATTTATCATTCAGCCTTGCTGCAGTGAAGGGGTCCCGGAACTGGAGTAAGTACTCAATGTTTGTAGAAGTAAATGGCAATTAACTGTTAACAATCATAACTGTGGGGGCAGAAAGACTGTAAGACCCAGGAGTGGTGGATAACCACAAAGAAACACTTTTTCAGGGGGAATTACTCATATGAACTTACAGCACCTATGCAAGTTCAAACCAGACAAAAACCCAGCATAGAAGAGGGGCAGAGGGTAAGAAACCCCAACCTTAGTTGAGAACTATTGACAACTGATCACTGCTGGGTGAGGGAGAATCAGTCTTCTATAAGGCAGTGACACTAGACAGGTTGACCAGGCTTCAATGGACGGACTCACACAGGGAACATTTGGTGAAGCAAACTTGGCCCCATAGACCTTAACATATATGACAGAATGCATGAAAATTGGTGGAGGGATGATATGGAAGGCACAGACAGGGAAGGGGTCTAACTATGGCCAAGGTGTAGGAACTTTGCAAAAAATCAATAAAAAACAAAAACCAATCATTACTATCTTGTATGTTTAAATTATTTAATCTGTGTAGTTTGAAGACCTGTTAAAAGACAGTGCTTGGAACATTATAAACATTACAGTACAACATTGCTGTATAAAGAGTAAAAGAATAAATTTGCCTACATTAAATGGTTGGCTGTGGTGTCAGTGGACTGTGATGATAGAAATAGAAAAGGTTCGATTTCTAGGGCTTGAAATGAGAGAAACCGTATGATTTCTTAAACACCAGAATGCCAGAGAAAACCTGTTTGTGATCCTCGTCTCTTTTACGTCTAGCCTCAATTTGCTCCGCGGGAAGACATTATTCTATCATCACATCTCCTCTCACAAGGCTCTGGAATGATTTCCTAGAGTAGAGAAAGAAATCAGAGTTCTCAATAACGCATGGCTAATCTAGTCAAAGAATTAAGGTTATGAAGAGTTCTGACTGATTTTCTTGTTCTGTTGCTTTAATCTTGCCCTACATCTCAAAGATTCACGTAGAGATTAACCCTTTCTGCTAAAGCCAAGAACCGGATTCTTTCGGAACCGTGGAGAACCCTTTACCGGCCGGTGAACGCTGTCACCGACGCGGCGGGACCTTGCCCCGCTGCCTGGGTGTGCAGCAGAGTTCAGGGAATCCGGACTACGACGGCGACCACTGCGCAGACTCTGCGTCCCACGCAGGCTTATTAGGAAGAGGGAGAAGGCTGCCCCCAGACACGTGAACTGTAGGGGACCAACCCCGGCCTCCGCTCCCCTGCATCGGATTCTGGAATTTACAATCAGGAAAGTTCTATTGCCCCGGGATTGGCTCCACGGCCGCATGACATCATAGCGCTTGATCCGGCCTCCGGCGTCGGATTGGCTGGCCGCGCCATTGTGACGTCACGGTCAGCCCACGCCAGGGTTGAAGCTGCCGGGCGCCTTGGTCTTGCATAGCCGCGGCTCTCTCCCTGCCTCACTAGCACATCCTCCCACTCGCACATCCAGCTGCTCGCGCTCCTCGGATCTCCGCGGCCCTGCGTCCAGGCCGAGGTGAGCAGCCGCGCCGCCAACTTCCGCGGGCGGCGAGACCTGAGTCGGGAGAGCGGGCGGCGGGCGCGGCGGGGCAGGGGCGCGGCGGGGACGCGCTGGGATGCCGTGGCACCTGTTCGGGGGCGGCAGCTACTTTCGGGCACTGACAGGCGCCGCGGGGGACGAGACTAGGGGACCTGAGGGATGGCCGGGCGCCGGCTCTGGTCCACCGCCCGGGGAAGCCGCCGGGCTGATGTGGAGGAGCTCGCGCGGTCCGGCCTGGCCGTTCCTTCCACCTCTCCTCCTCTGGCCTTGGGATCCTTCCCCGTCCTGCTCCAGGGGAAGCTCGCGGGCTGGGGACCACTGGGGTGCTATTAAAAGCACTCGGGAAGGATGGGCTGGAGGAAGGCGAGAGGGTGGGGACGGGGACGGGGACGGCCCTGCGGGGACCCGGGCGTAATGCCGCGCTGCACGGGAGCGGCCTGGAGCCCGGGGAACCGGAGAGCGCGCGATCCGAGTAGTTAGAAGAAGTGCCCTTTTATTGTTTCCACGCCACTGCGACTTCCCTGTGTCCTGCCCTCCGGGTGGACGCGGTAATGCCCCGAGCGAGAGTTGTTCTTTTTAAACGGTCTTGAAGCCATTCCTTGAAACCTTTCGGTACCTTTGAACTAGGTCGCTCTCGCTCCGAGTTTGTTCATCTCCAGGGGCCTTGGTTGCCGCGATTTCTAAAGGGGAGAGGGCGTTTTAAAGAATGCGACGCGTGAATCATTACTTGGATGCGGGGGGGGGGGGCATGTAGGTCCTGGGAACTGAACCTGGTCCTCTTAACCACTGAGCCGCTTGCCCCCTGCCTTTATTTATTTATTTATTTATTTATTTATTTATTTATTTATTTTTATTTACTGATGTGAAGGCCCATGGCAGGAAGTGTTTTATAGGACTGTACGGAAGAACAATGTTTCGTATTGGTTTTGTAATTTGTTCCTCTAACGGCTTGGCAGTTATAACCTGTTGGTCTATACTTGTGTGACACACCATTTTGGGCAGAACCTACAGGTAAAGCTGGCTTTTCATTAGGTGGCTGTACTTAGATTTTCTTTTGCGGTTGGAGACAAGGGGATCCCTTTTCCAGCCTGCGAGGGCACTGCTTGGTTGCTCCCCTAATGCCCTGCCCTTGAAGGGAAATGTTGCACATTTTCCTGTTCCGATTCTTTAACCGATTATAAGGTCGCTGCCAGGAACATTCTCTGTACTCTATCTCATTGCATTTTCTTTTTGTCTCCACAAGACAAAAAGGGGAAATGCTGTTGATATGATGCTTTTATAAATGTAAACTTTAAAGCAGAGTGAAGGAAAGTATGTAAAACTTGGATTGTCAGGTTTTCCAAAAAGTTTCTTGTAAGTTCAACCACCTCTCACTTAACTCGGTTTCCTTGTCAGTAAACCAGGGTTCTATGTTGTTGATTTGTTACACAGGTTTCAAGAGAATGAAAATTAAAGAACCCAGCGTGGGGTCTGCCAGATAGTGGTTTGGTAAATGTTTCCTTTCCTGGGATGAACAGTGTCCCCCTGCTAGAGACCTTAGGTTTTAGATGCCTGATGGTTGCAGAAGTCTTTCCCCGACCACTTCCTGGTCCTCCTTCACCATTAGGATTGCTCCTCTTCTGCATTTTGAGGTGAAGTTCTCATCCATGTGTCTTATATCCACTGTGAATTATATATATAAATTGAGACAAAATAGTTAACCATCTCTCTCCTAGGGTGAGGGCAGAGTAGAGCATTAGCAGTTTTACTTTTCTTTCTCCTCAAACCACCCCTCCCCAAAGCAATTTTTTTAATTTACTTTTTACTTTTGACTACCACCCCTTAGTGCCAGCAGGGTCCTCCTGTGTGGTGCCTGTGTGTCCCCGCAGGTGTCCGGTGCACGTGCCATTCACTTGTCCATCCTTCCTTCCTTCCCTCTTGTTTCCCTTTCATTGAGCAACTCCTTTAGTCTGTTGATGTCTTTTGGTAAATACTTCTTCCCACATATGTCCCTTTTTTCCTGTTTCGTTTTTTAATCTAGAACTAAGGCCTAGAGATGTCAGGTGACTCTTCTCTAATCACCCGTAGCTCTGTCTTCTGCAACATTCCCAACTCCTTCACATGATCTTTTTCTGCTAGGATTATCTGTGTAGTCATTTAATGTAATTGTGCTATTTGGTGACTTAAAATCGAACCATGAGCTTAAAGCTTCATCTTAAACCATCCAGGAGTGACAATTTTTTATTTCTTGAATATGTTCCTTTACTTGGCCTATATATTCATTCATTTCCGTTTTATTTTTATTTTTTAAATTTTTATTTATTATTTTTATTTTATGTGTATGTGTGTATTCCCTGCATGTAGGTAAGTGTACCCGTGTCGTGCAATGCCCGCGGAGGTCAGAAGAGGCTGTCGGATCCCCTGGGACTGGAATTACAGACAGTTGTTAGCTGCCATGTGGGTGCTGGGATTCAAACCCGGGTCTTCTGCAAGAACGACCAGTGTTCTTAACTGCTGAGCCATCTCTCCAACCCTTCATTTCTTTTTTAAGGACAGGGTCTCCTGTAGCCCCAGCTGGCCTGAACTCACTGTGTAGACCAGACTGGCCTCCATCTCACAGAGACCCCAAGTGCACCACCATGCCTGACATAAATTCACCATTTCTGGGGGTGACCTTGAACTTCTGATTCTCCCTGTCTCTTGAGTACTAGAATAACAGGCATGGTCCATCACACCTAGCTTATGCAGAGCTCGATATAGAACCCAGGGCTTCATGTGTGCTGGGCAAGTGCTCTCTGTCAGTTGAGCCCTGTCCCCAGCTCTAGACTCATTGTTTTTCTTAATTTACTGACTTGTAAGCTAGTGGTTGAGTATTTAGTGCATGGATGGGGTAGTTGGATACAAAGAAGTGTGAAGCATTGCTGATTCCAAAGGGATTCCTGATTTAGTTTACACTCTAAGCCTTTTATACACACTTATTCTGTACTTTGCCCCAAAAGGGAGTATAGCGTAGATTTCTGGGGCACATGGCACTGTATTGGGAAAGCTTCATGACAGAGCTGTCCGTGTTAGACATTACCAGTGGCTTAGCACTATTGAATTGGTCACAATGCTTTTGGTGCAGGAAACAGAAAACCCAGTTCAGATAAGCCTAACCTCACACCTCCCCTGAAAGGCCTGAAAAACAGGACCTTTGCTCCACTTGACTGAGGTCCTCTCTGGTACAGATTATACCCTCATGCTGATTGTGCAAGATGAGTACCAGCACCTGTCTGGACTTACCCTGAGGGGCTTGACTTAGGCCCCTGGCTACCTGAAGCAGTTACTGGACTGTAGAATCTGATAACCTGGTATCCATCCCAACAGTAGGTTAAATCTTAGTTCACCTAGCTGGCTGCTGTACCTTTAAGGCCTGTGCCAGCTCCGGAATGCCTCATGAATACAAGTTTGGAGACTGAGTGAGTGTGGAATCCTTGGGCAAGAAGCAGGTAGCCCAGTTGCTGAAGCTGTGGAGACTGTAGAAGTACAGAGACAATCTGATGTTGGTAGAAGAATGCCTGACTTTCACTGAGTTGTTGTGAGTCAGACCCTGCATACAGCCCTTTTGAGAACTTAACCTGAGTACTGCTATGGTCCAGGAGCATTCTCACTCTATAGCTAAAGAAATGGACACTGAGTTCAGATGCTTGCCAAGGTCACAAGTCTTTGCAGCCCTGATGCTCCCAAGGGCGAAGCCTGTCATGCAAACCCTGTTTTCTCTCCTGAGGTGTTCGGTAATACAGAATATGAGTTTTTTAGCTAGAAGGAGTGCATTATGAGTGCAGTGCTTCCGAAGTAGTAGTCTTGTCAGAGCTGGCCGGATAAATTGGCTGCCACAGAGGCTCAGAATATGCAGAGGCTGAGAGGCTGCTCTTCCACATGGGTTACCTCTCATAGCAGTGCCGATGACAGGCTGTAAAAACACGCAGGCTCATGGTGCAGGGTTCGAGTAGAGCACACACGTGCCAGTCTGTCTATTAGAGCTGTGGCAGTTTGAAAAGGCAGTTTTAAGCATTTCGGTTAGAAATTGGCTGCATGGTTTCTTGCCACCAACAATGAGAAATCAGCTCTGAGCATTGGTCTCTTCCTTTAAAATGAAAACTTAGTTTCTTATTTTCATTTTTGGCAAGAATAAACCCTTTGTTTCTGTTCGACTGGGGATAGAAAATGAAAATTTTGATCACATAGGCCTCAGGAAGGCAGACATCAGAACAGATGAGGAAATTACAAACTGCTGTGGGCTTTAGCTTTTAGGGGGTTGGAACATTGCCATTGGAGATGTTTTGCCCTAGAGAAGCAAAATTTAAGGACCTAATTTTTAGTTTCTGTGATAGGACCTTCCCTCCCAGTCCCTGATTTCAATCCGTAAATGTTTCTGTCACCAAATCTTTTGGTTTCCTCTGGGTTCCCACTGGCATGTCTTTTTCATGGGGGCATTGTTAGTTGATTTGTAGGCATTTACTTTAAGCATTGTGTGGTTCCTGGGTTTCAGTTACTCTACCTGGTGAATTTTTTTAATAATTTTAAAAAATATTATTTTTATTTTCTGTGTATGAGTGTACTGCCTGCATGCATGTGAGTGCACCCGTGTCATGCAGTGCCGCGGAGGTCAGAAGAGGGCTTCAGATTCCCCTGGAACTGGAGCTGTAGACCGTTCGTAGCTGCCATGTAGGTGCTGGTAGGTGCTGGGAATTGAACCTGGGTCCTCTGCAAGAGTAGTCAATGGTCTTAACCTCTGAGCCATCTCTCTAGCCCCCTCTACTTGGTGAATTTTTAAGAGACTTAAATTCCAGGCTATTAAGATAGCTCAGCCTTGCAAACAGAAGGACCTAAGTTTAAGCCCTAGAACCCACTTTAAAAAATCTGGGACTGATATACATTTGTAATCCCAGCACTGGGGAGAGAGAGACTGGCAGATCCCTGGGACTCATGGGCCATACAGCCTAGCCTACTTGGCA